CCCCCCTGCCGGTGCTGTCTCCTGGTGCCATCTACCTGAGGCTGAACTCCAGCTGGGACCCAGCATTGCCAGGAGGAGCAGGACAGCTCCACTCTCCACCCAGATGGGGAATTTTGTGGTGACAGTCTCTTTCTGCTTCCTCCTGCTCCACCACGCTCCTGCTGGCCTCTCTCTGCCTGCCAGGTTGCACTGCCTGCAGCAGTGCGGGGCCACATTTCTTCCCTGGGACTCCCTGGCAGCCTCTGCTTACAGGATTTGTTCTTAAAGGAAAGGCTGAAAGCCTTCATTGTATTCAGCTTGAGACTTGCAGCAAGTACTTCTGCTCTTCTCTCAGGAGGTTACTGGGAGCAGACACTGCCCACCCACCTCTCCTAAACCAGGGGTGGGTGGAGACGTGGTTTACTCTCAAATACTCACAGTTCCACATCAACAGAGAGACCTGAGCCCTGTGCACCATTCCCCAGGGGCCTTGCATGTGCACCTCAACAAGCCCTGATGGGCCACGTGCTCCTGCTCACAGGGCACACAGCTGCACTGTTCCCTACATGTCACGGGCTCCAGGCTCCACCACATTTCCCTCTGGACACCCAACTGCTCCCCATGCTTGCTTTCTTCCACTAGCAGAACAGCTTTGTATCAAATTAAAATGCTCAGGTTGGCCAACTGTGCCATATGTGCGTTTACCTCCCCCAAAACAGGCCATCTGTGAGGTTACTGGCAGTATATTGCCAAAGCTGCAGCTCCTACATGGCCCTGGGGACTCCCTCCCTCCTCAGCTGGCCCCAGGACAAGATGTCCCTCTGTCCTTTGGGAGTGGAGCCGGGCAAGGAGGCAGCTGGCACTGCACAGGCTGTGCCTACTCTCCCCATTGCAGCTTGGCAGCTGGGACAAGTGCAGTGCTCCAAGAATTCCCACTGCCTTGAGCAGCACATCTGGCTATTTTAGAGTGGCACTTCCCAGGCTCTGGTTGACTTCCATGTAATTACCAGGCAAAGGCAGGTCAACCATGTTTAATGAATTTCCCTGATATCCACAGAGCAGACTTATCTATGTAATATATTGATTTATTTTCACTTAAACTGAACAGACTTCATGGATATTTTAAAGACTCTGTATCAGGTATAATCTTTGTTCGGCCTGAGATTAACATTTCTGCTGCTGCCTCACTGCAGTGTGTAACTGCAGTTCATATCCAATTAATTTGGCCACATTCCTTCTAGAAACATTTCCCAGACCTTCTCTTTTTCTCCTCCTGTCTGTAAGGTTTACTTAAGACTTCTCCTAGAGTAAGTTTTGTTACAAGACTCATGAAATCCAGAATTTGAAACTACCTTGAGGGGATCCTTTTTTAAGGATTAATAATTCATCCAGAAGAGTAAACAATCCTCCTATATGCTAACTTTGATAAGAAAGTACTGCAGATGAGATACACTTCAAATTAGTACAAGTGAGATTTAAGGCATTCGTTTTGAAAACATAAAACCCCAGGGCTCTGCATTGCAAGCCTGTGCTGAGGCTTCCTAGGGTTCTGGCTGCTGTGCTTTAAATAATTCAAAATTTTGTTTGGGTTATTTTTGGGGTTGTGTTAGGGATTTTTTCACGTGCCATATCCTCCTATTTATATTCACAGCGCATACCTCTCTCAGCTTCACTGTATGTTTTCCACAGATTACAGTAAATACAAGCTATAACTGCGAAGGTTTAGGACTGAGGGAGATTCCTGCAAAACTACCTGTCACAACCAAAATCCTTGACTTCAGCTTCAATGTGCTCCCTTCCCTCCTGAATTCAACCTTCTCTGAGCTGAAGTCTCTTCTCTACTTGGACTTAACAAGGTACAGAAGCATCCTCCTTACTTCTGCTCATCACATTAGTGAAACTCCCTGTCCCTGTCAGAGCCAGAGGCTTCAGGAGCACACCAGAGCAGCATCTCCCTGCCTTCACAGGGAAACCACCAGTAGCACCTTCAGACAGCAGGTGAATATTTTTGCTAGGCAGAGATTTACCCACTTGAGCAATATCCAGGCTTCTCCTCTGATGACAATCATTTGCAGGACACTGCATGAAATATGTATTTTCCAGATATTACTCCTTCTCAGACAGTAGTGACAGCAAAGTCACTGCAACAGGTTTTTATTCATTTTCCTATATTACTCCCTAGAAACTGAAGAATGACACGTTTGGTCCTTTGAAATACTCATCTATTTCTGTAGAAAAATTGGGTTTCATTTTATTAAGGCGAACATTACAAATTCATGTTTCCCTGACTCACACAAATGCCTCCCCACACTCATCATTTCAGGGCAGGTTTTTATTCTTACCAGAACCCTGTGTTTAAATGTGAACTTAAAAGCAAAGGGCAAGCACCACTGGAAAAAAAACACTTCTATCCTTGTGAAGGCAAACAATGAGTTTTTACGGATATGAGGTGCACTTTGGGTACATGTACAGGGAGAGTTTTGCAAGACAAACCACTGATACCACTTTCTATTGTTTTCTCAAGGTGTCAAATCAGCTGGGTGTATGACGGTGCCTTTCACAGCAACAGGCAGCTAAAGACAATTGTGCTGACAGGAAACCTGCTCTTGTTTCTGTCTGACACAGCATTCATTGGCCCACGTTCCTGGAGCAGCTTGTCTTAACACAAACGGGAATAAGCAGCATGTCCTTTATTCCAATGACAAATCTGGATAGCTTAGATACCCTCATCTTGGGCAGAAACCACATCTCTTCATTGCAGCTTCCTCCCAACTTTCCCACTCGGAATTTGACTTTCAAATGAACAACATACGAGCAATCACAGCAGAAGATGTCTGTGTTCTGCACAAGATCAGCAATATAACTCTCATCTTTAAAGGCAATGACATTACATACATTGAACCTGGAGCTTTCCACTCCCATTACTACAGTTTGGACTTTGGGGGCTGCACTGACATCCCTGGGATCCTGGCAGGTATACAGAACTCCACAGCCCAGACACTTTGGCTGGGAACATTCCGCAGTGTGAAAAAGGAGTCCCATGTAAGCCCAGATGTTTTACAAGGCCTCTGTAATGTCTCTGTTAACGATCTCTATCTGCCATTACGGCACTTCAGAAATCTAAATGCTGACACATTTCAGTGCTTAACCAGGCTCCGAAAGCTAGACCTAACCGAAACTCACATCTATGCACTGCCCCCTGGCATCAGTGGCATGAGCTTGCTAGAGGAGATAATTCTCAACACAAACTCCTTTGAGCACCTCTGCAACATCAGCTCTGCTGCCTTCCCCTCCCTCACCCACCTCCTCATCCAGGGTAACTCACAGGTCCTGCAGCTGGGCTCTGGCTTTCTGGAGAAACTGGCAAAGCTTCAACATCTCGATTTAAGTCAGAGTCGTATTGAGAGCTCTGACTGCTGTAGAGATGCACTGAGCGGTTTGAGCAGTCTTCGTCACCTGAATCTGAGCCACAACATACAGCTCCATCTCCAGGATGTGCTCATTAAGGATAGTGCTAACCTGGAGGTGCTGGACCTAGCCTTCCACTCCTCTTCATGTCAACACTTCCCAGGGTCCTTTCCGAAATTTGCATCTCTTGCAAGTGCTGAATCTTTCCTCTTCCAGCATTAATACTAGCACTCATCATCTCTTTCAAGGCTTGGAAAACCTCATGTTCTTGGACCTTAGTCAAAATAACTTTGAGTTGGGGATCATGCCAGAGGACAAACTGTTCCAACAGCTATCCAATTTAGAGGTGCTAATATTATCATCCTGTGAACTGACAGCAATAGGCAACCAAGCATTTCACAGCCTCAAGAAGTTACAGCGTGTCGATCTGAGCCACAACAAACTTACTGCATTCAGCACAGATGCATTTTCCAGTCTCAAGAGCATCTATCTCAGTTTTGCCCATAATGGGATCCATATTGTACCAGGTGACCAGCTGGTGTCCCTAGCTGGCCACTGTGTAATCAATTTAAGTTACAACCCTTTGGACTGCACCTGCTCCAATATTGGTTTGATCACCTGGTACAAGCAGAATCTGGATAAAATTGAGGACCCTGAAGGAACAAAGTGCTCTGATCCCAAGTTGCTAGCTGGGACTCAGCTGGCCAGGATCTTGCTCTCCTGTGGGACAAACACAGCAGGAACCATTGCAGTTGTCCTGGTTATTTTATCCTGTGGTGCTATCTTCTTTTGGGATGCTCGCTATTTCAAGCAAAATTACCAGCAAATATAAGTTTATGATGGATATACAGAAAATACCTGCAGAAATTTTATTAAGATGAAAGACATCTTAGTGTTTTTGTTTGTGACATGTATGGAACAGGTTGCCCAGGGACATGGTGGCTGCCCCAACCCTGGTGGTGTTCAAGGCCAGGCTGGATGAGGCCTTGAGCAACCTGATCTAGTGAGGAGGTGTCCCTGCCCAGGGCAGGGGGTTGGGACTAGATGATCTGTAAGGTCCATTCCAACCCCTAAATTCTATGATTCTATGATTCCATTTTCTTAACCATTGTAATACTCTTTCTATTTGTATCATTAATTCAAAAAAAATACTTAAAACAATTATTTGAGAACTGGAAAAATAAACTACAACCTGAGTCTTGAACATTAATAACTTATTTTACAGAGAAATCCTAATTCTACTCAATATTAGCCCTAGTGTATGAGCTACTATGGCTAAGGCATTTGTAAAGGGAAGACCCCAGGGCCAAAATACAAACATTATTCTCTTTAAAGAAAGAAAATCCAACTTTCACCACTCCCAACTGTTGCAATCCACCCCTGAGGTGGGGTAACTCATTAGTAGATCCTTCCAATAGAGTGAAATGGCACTGAATCACAAGTGTTTGTGTATCTATACCACAGGTTTATTTTTGGCTGCAGCAGAAAGGAGGTATGTAGTAGGTATAATTATTATCTATAGACATAGAGCAGTATAAAAGTATAAAAACTATTACTTAAGAAAATATATAAGGAAAAGAAAAGGAAAGGACAAGAGTAGATAGTGTAGAGAAAAGATATCACCACCCATGGATCCAGTGATGAGTCTTGACTGCTGCAATTTGGGTGTCCCTTTGTTGAAGTGATAGTTACAATCTTGATCCATCAGGACTGGGGGAAGTCCACACAATATAAAGTTCAATTGGTTAATATAAATTCAAATTCAGGTGGAAATGCCCGGGTACCTCTCTGGGGTGGAAGAGTTTTACCCTGTCTAATGCAACACTGTGGATCATGCACACTTCTCTGGTGGAAGGGGCCTGAAATGGGTCAGGGGTGCTTTGGTGGTCTTTGATGGCTTTTAACCTCTTCTAAGACACGACAGATGTTTCTTATTCCAGCAAAGCTGAGACAGTTGTGCCTTATAAGAAAGGATGAATACCTTCCGGCCTAAGTGTGAATGTCCCAGTACCTCTCCCAGGGTGGGTGATTTTCCTTGTCATGAAGGAGGACATCAGCATGATGTCCATCTTTCCCTTACCTGTCTCAAAACCAGCTTGTTGTTTAACAAAGGTCAGTTTGTCCTGGTCGTCCTACAGGGTGTGGTGTGCACACTATCAGCACCTGGGCTGTTCTTATGCAGATCAGAGGCTTTGCCATCACACAACCAAAAATTGTCTTCCTCCATTTCGGCTGGTGCATGCAAAGTTAGCCTCAGGAAAATACCTGCTGCTTTTGCAAATGGCCAATTGTTTGAATCCTTACCCTTTAACATTCCTGTCTGTCACTCCAAAAACAAGAAAACCAAACCAAAATCAACCAAACTGGGCTGTTCTTATGCAGATCAGAGGCTTTGCCATCACACAACCAAAAATTGTCTTCCTCCATTTCGGCTGGTGCATGCAAAGTTAGCCTCAGGAAAATACCTGCTGCTTTTGCAAATGGCCAATTGTTTGAATCCTTACCCTTTAACATTCCTGTCTGTCACTCCAAAAACAAGAAAACCAAACCAAAATCAACCAAATATCTCTATCAAAAATCCTTTAAAAACAATGCTGTTTAGGAACCAACAGTAGCATACAACATCCACTAAAAAGGAAAAAAATATCTCTGTGAAAAAACATGTACAACATTCATAATCACATAAGACACAGTCCTGCAGGACTGACAGAAACAGTATCACCTCTGTGATTTCTTTGAAGTATTTCTTTAAAATGTTTTTGATCCTTAGAAAATTCCTGGCCATTGAACCTCTTGTCTGTCCTTCTATCACCCTGGGACAGGCTCTGCTGTGCTATTTTCTAGACTCCACAGTAAGCAGAGACTGGCAACAATTTAATCTTTAACCACAAAACTTGCAGATTTGGTCAAGAATCTGTGAGTGCCTAGCACTACACTTGCTTTCACAGGGGAAAAAAACCCCAACACCAACAACTATGAGACATTTCTGCGCCAGCCTAGAGTGGACAATTCCTTCCAGCTACAGTGCAGGAGGGAAAACCATAGAGGCTGCCAAGTGGGCCACCTCATCCCACTGATGCTCCTGGTGTCCATGCCTACTTCACACGGCTTCTGGTGTGCATCCTTGGAGTGAAATCAGAGTCTATTTGCTCCAATGGGATATGCAACAGCTAGGCAGGAATGAAGAACTGTTATTACTTACTTTTCCTATAAAACCAAATCGCTTTCTCTGCCATCACTTGTGAAAAACTCAGTAGCAAGACAGTTTATGTGCCTTTGACCAAAGATCTAGTGGGAGCTTGTTGTGCCTACTCATCTGCCCTGTGTTTCCATGATGTGCTTTATGGCACTAGCACTTTAATAACAGGCTAACCCTGATGTATAGTCACAACCTTCTTGGGGGAATGACCCTTCTGTCTCCACGGCAGAGCATGCACCACACAGCCTCACCCTGCCTCAGCACAGCTTTCTGGTGTGTTAAGCTGGGAACTGTGGTTGCTTCCCGAGATTTGGAAGGCAAGCTCTCTCTCAACACTCCCCGTGCAGGGTTTCACATTCAGCTTCAGCTCCTGCCCAAAGGCATTTCCTCAACATTTTCCTCTTTAACATACTGACTACCTGAAATTTCAGAGACTCCTGCTGTTCTTCAGTCTTCCTACTAAGAAGCTTGTGCCCATTTCTGATGATACCGTTGACAAGAATCCCTGCTTGGTCTTCTAAAGTATGTAATACCTCTCACTGAAGTGCCCCTTTTTACTGACTGTTAGCAGATCAGACTCATATGACAAGTATTCTTGTAGCTTTCAGATGCCTTCACATTACATATGCTATTGCCTTACCCTGCAGCTTCTCCTCCTCCTGCCTTGTAGCCTTGTGCTGCTCGAGGGCATGAAGGGAGAGATGTTTGATGTTCCTTCTCCAGTTACCTATAAACACTCCCAGATTTGGGGTACCAAAACTTTGCCTCTCCTTACAGCTCTCTGTATTCCTTTTTCCTGTGGCTGGTGACACGATTTCCACTGAATCCTTCTCCTAACCCAATCAGCAGGCGCTATACTCCAGCTGCCTGACACCAAACCTGCATGGGCTGCCTGCCTCAGGCAAGCTCTTCTGCAAGAGCTGGTCTAAGGGAGAGAAATATCCCCATAGCAAACAAACTATGCTGCCCCGGGTAAGCACACCCTGACTTGTACTTGGGAGTAACGCAGGGATATTCCTGAACTCAGCCCAGGGTCCAAGGTGCATTTTCCCCTCCCTCTGCAAACCCAACTGGTTAAATGAGCAACCTCCAGTATCTAACAATCCAGCACAAATGCCAGTGTATGCACCATCCAAGAAAGACCTGCTTCTTCCATTGTTTCCCTCTGAAAGTTGTGCGTTCAGGACAGTGTCAGACAAACAGTTAATTTAAAAGAGAGCATAAGACACCCCACAGGCACAAAAAAATGCTGCAAGAATTGGGCAGTAACTGCAGGAGATTCACAAGAACTAGTGATTGGAGGGAAAACTGCATGTTGGGCTGAGACGTATTCTGAAATGTCTTTTTGTCTGGAGAGAACACCACAGGATTTAGCCACCACCAGTGGCTAAATCCTACCTAGTCTTATGGTGTGGACTTACGTGTAGCCTTCAGTCAGTCAAAACTCAAAGATGGCTGAGAAGGCGAAATGTTCCTGTGAAATATGTATTTGCACACAGAGCATTTTAAGACTTTTCTGCAATCCATTCCTTCCCCTCTACACAACTTATTTTATATGACCATCTTCATCTGTTATAATTTTCCTCTTTGATTTACTTGACGGTGGCATCTCTGTTTTATTTGCCTGCAAAATGTCATTCATAAGACACTGTACAAGCAATATTGAGCCACATATGCTGTATGTTTCAGGATGCACAAACCCTAAATACAGGGACTAATTATTCTGAAGAAAAATGTATCTATGGATATAATACACTAAAATGTCTAGATTATATATTAATACTTTCTGAAGTTCTTCAGTCTTTGGAGGGTACTTAACTAGGGATATAAATGAAAAGAGACAGTAGATTTATTTTCCCATATAGAATTGTTTACCTAGACAAACTCTGATGTGATGCACTCTTCGGTTTCCAGTCAGGCCTTTTATCTCTTATTTTTTCAAATATGGCTGTGGAGCCAGCACACAGAAAGAACAAGGAAATCACTTGAGGTGAATGGTGCCTAACAAGATTTACATCACCACCATCCTGGCTTCTGGGCTACAGGTGTCTCTGAAATCACAGTACAGCTCAACACCATGACATAGAATTAATCAGTATTTACACAGATAAAGAACTTGAGTGTATCTTCATTAATGAGTCACATTTCAGAGAGCATTTACCTTTATTTCAACTGGATAAAGCAAAACCCAGCGCCAAGTTCTTCCTTCCCCAACTGTGCTTTAAACCGGGTGCTATCAGTAAAATCAGTAAAAGTTAATTTTTGAAAGAGGATTTTACTCTGAACAGGATGGTTGAATGGGCCAATTTCTGCATCTGTTGACTTAAAAAAATACAGCCTCATGTCAATGTCCTCTTAAGAACTTGCTCTCATTTCCCAGTCTTATCTATACCTGGAAGAAAAGCAGGCAAAACCCCTTCCCAATCACTCAATTCCATACCTCCTTCACATGCTAAGCCCCATGGAAATTCTTCTCCCCAGCAGCAGAAGACATCCTTCTTCACCAGAACATCCAGTGCTCCCTGTGTCTAATTCCCATCTGCACTTTGTAGGGTTTGCCATGTCCTGGCACTTACCTATGTTGTCTTCTTACTCTGCAGTCTTCTCCACTCTTCCTGAGGCTCTCAACTTCTTGAATCATAACCTGTTGCATTGCTTCCTACCCATGGCAGCAGGGTTGGAACTAGATAATCTTTGAGGCCTATTACAGCCCAAACCATTCTGATTCCTACCGCTGTTTATTCAAATCCATTCTCGGCCAGACATCTGGGAAATCCAGCTGGTCAGTTCTAACCAACTGCTACACAATAGATACAGTCAGTAGAAAGACAAACTGTCGCTAACCCAAGGCATGAAGTGGGACATGCATCCATACACCCTCTAGTATGTTCCTGTGATCTATTCTTTCTAAGCTGCCATCTGAGTTATGATCCAAATCCAAGCTGGACAATCCTGCCAAGTCTTGCAGACTGCATAAGACTACAATAAGGAGTCTAAGGGGGCTCAATTAACTGGGAGGTCAGTGCTGAAGAAGGGAGTTCATATTTCCCCTTCAAACCATGAAAGCATTCCATTCTCAGGTAAGATGCAGTCTCTTCTTACCACAGTAAAAGTGAGGATGACAGGCCATGCCAGATGGAATACCAATTACCCATCTCTCCCAACTTCTCCCTCAGCACAAACTCTGTACACCACCCGTTTCCTCTGGCCCTGAATACTGTGGAGGCTCACTCTGGGCAAGCAGGTGTCTATGCTTCCCCAGGCAGAGGTGATGGCTGCTGTCCACAGCCAGGGACAGCATAGCAGGCAGAAGCATGAGACCCAAAGTCAACTCTCAACTCCTGTCATTTCCTTTCCCTCAGCTGCTGGATCCTGCTCCTCCCTCCTTAACCCATCATCCTCCCTGTCAGTGCACCAGTTCCGCAGACTATCTGCCTTCTGGTGAGTTGCAGCAAATCAGAGAAGTTGGAGGTGATCTGCACTTTCCCCTCACCTACTTGTTTCAAATAGAAAGCAAAGCAGCAAAAGTGGTGCTGTAGCACTGCTGCACTTCATTATGTACAGAGCAAAACCACAGAGAAAACAATGCAATGATAAAATGTGAACACAAATTCCTACCTGCTGGGCAGTTATGCAGCTACCAGCAGCAGAACAGTAAAGATATGTGTATTTCAATAGATGCTTCTCCCACAGTAGTAGATGTTTTTGAGAAAGGACTTCAATGATAGAATCATAGAATAAACCAGGCTGGAAAAGACCTCCAAGCTCATCAAGTCAAACCCCACCATGGACACTAGACCATGGCACTAAGTGCCACATCCAGTCTCATCTGGAAAACCTCCAAGGATGGTGAAACCACCACCTCCCTGGGCAGCCCATTCCGATGCCTGATTACTCTCTGCATAAAAAAAATCTCATCCTAATATTCAACTTACACCTTCCCCTGGCAGAGCTTGAGTCTGTGCCCTCTTGTCCTACCACTGGTTGCCCAGGAGACCAATCCCCACCTGACTCAAACCTCCTTTCAGGG